GCCTAGGGCACCCAGTGCCCGTGGTACGTCCAGCACTCTTCCTCATGCTGCTCTGGGCTTCCTCTGGGGGCTGCCTGAGCCCCACCTGTGCTGCTCGCTGGCCTGCAGCACTGTCCCTGAAGGCCCCAGACACTCTGCAGCAACTGGCATGCTTGCCTGGGAGACGTGGAGCTTGGTGTGTTGGCCCAGTGTAGAGAACTGAACTCTCCCCTTTTGGGCTCAGCAGTTAGTGCCAAGGGACTGGCACCTGAGTCCAGGTGGTCACAGGCTGATGGCTCATCAAACTGCCATGTTGTGCACTTAAGGCCTGATGGGAGATGACAGTGTGTGAACACACACAGGCCTGGGCCCTTCAGGGGCTGGCCACTGTTGATGGCGGCTGCCGCAGGGGCTGCCTGCTCTGATGCCGCCGGAAACAACTGGCGGGGGTCTCTCTCCTTGAGGAAAAGCTTCTGTGCGTGCTCTCCTGCGAAACAGATCTGAGTCAGCATAGAGACAGCAGCGCTGTCCCCTGGCATGGCTCTCTGAACATCTGCAGTGTGGCCTGTGTGGCCTAGACCCCGGCCTGTGGCTTAGTTGCAGTTTCCATTTAGAGAGCCACATGTGTCTGTGGCTGCTGTAGTGGACAGCACAGGTCTAGATCAGTAGTTCTCAAGTAGCACCAACCCTGCTGCCCCAAGGGACGTTTGTCACAACCTGGGGATGATTTGGCTTGTCACCAGTGGGAGGGGGTCTCTCGGCACCTAGTGGGCAGAGGCCAGGGGTGTTGCAACATCGAGTGAGTGTCACTGTGCTGAGGCCGGCCCCCGGGGTTGGCTGTGGGACAGAGGGGTGCACTCCTGACACTGGCTGCTGCTGGGCACCACGCTGGCCACCAGTGTATGTTTCAGTTTGAGTCCATGATTCACGTAAGTTGTCTGACCTCCCTTGGTTGCTCCCTACACCCCAAGTTACCCACAAACTCTCAGCTGCTTTCAAGAAGCATGCCAGACCCCCCAGAACAGCCATGTGTGTTGCATGTTCACTCACCCCCACCCCACCCCCAGAGGTTGAGTGGCTGCCTTAGGGCAGCTGCTGAAGCTTCTGCTCCTGCCTACCTGAAGGTGGGAAGGAAGGCCCCGCAGCTGTGCTGGGAGGAGCTTGGGCAGCCCTGCCAGGCGAGCTGCTTCTGGCTTTTATTCTGGACTTCTCCCCACAGGCTCTGGAGGCCAATTCCTGGTCCATAAGAGGCCTCCTGTTACCACTCTGCTTCGTCCCTGGCCTTTCCTGGGCATCCCCTGGCTTTGGGTCCTCACTAGGGCAGCTAGCGCGTTCTTTCTTCAACAGCTGAGGCCTGTTCCCTGGGCGTCCCCTGGCCTGCTGCACGCAGGGTCTTCTGGGCTGTGGCAGGAAGGAATCAGCAGGTGGCGCTGTGGCACCAGAGTCAGGTTGCGCACCGCAAAAGCCTTAAGCTGGAGTCAGCCCATGCCTGTGGGGAGGTGAGCTTACCTGTGGGCCCCGCCCCCTGCCGCCACATCCAAGGGCCAGCCACGGGAGGCCTCAGGCCCATCTTGCTCCTTCCCAACTTCTGGTTAAGCCCATCTCCCTCCTGTGCCTGCACAGCAGGGAGACAGGGTTGGTGAAGAGCCTGTGAGCAGCACCTCCTACTTGCTATGCTTGGCCCTGCTTCTCCAGAGCCCAGAAAGAGGTTCTGTTTCTCCTGCCTTCTCTTATTTACTCAACCTTTCATAAAAGCATGATAGCCCTGCTCAGCATCCAAGAACATTTTACCCAGAGACCCAAGTCAGGTTCAGGTATTTGGAGCTGATGTTTGTCTGCCAAGGACACATCTGGCTTCAATTATGTTTCTCTACTGGCCTTTCCCTGTGACATTGGACAAAGTTAAGCAGGACTCCGGGCCATGCCATCAGTGACAGCGATGTACTGTAAGGAAATTGCATTGGCACTGGGTTTTCGCCTGTGACCTTTAAATGAACACCTCAGAACAGTTATGTGGGTGACAGTCCCCAAAAGGCACAGCAGAGAGTGCTGGAAAGCTGCATGGCCAGAGATGGAGGCCGGCAGTGGTCATTTCTGCAGGCTGGCCTGTGAAGCCTGCCCCTGCCCACCGCATACCATGCTCAGCCTGGGGGGCCCGGCAGACCCTGTGGAGAGCTGTGCACAGTCCCTGGGGCAGCTGTGCTGGGAGGGGTTACCAAGGGTACCATGGGTGGGGTCCGGGAAGCTCCTGTGTAACGAATGCCAGGGAACCCACTGGGAAGGACAGCCCTGAGGGAGCAAGCTGGGGACAGGCCCGAGTGTGGGTTTGTCCCCAGCTCGTGCTGCTGAGTCGCCTTTCCCAGGTGCCTCTCAGCTGCCGCCGCAGGCACCAAGCCAGCTTGCTCACCACCACGGGGTGGGAGTGGCGCCTTCCCTGGGCTGCCCTGTGTCTCCTTTTGCCAGGCAGCCTGGCAAGTACTGTGTCTGCTGGTCCCCCTTGGGCCCGGGCCCAGGTGGGGAGGGATAAGGAGGAGAAGGGGCAGCTTCCGACATGTCCCCTCAACCTGCTGGGCATGGGCTAAGGTCACCTGGAAGGCCCCGTTTGGAGATTGCCAGGTGTGGGGGTGGAGCGGTGAAAGGTGTGGGTTGGCCTGGAGGTACTGTGGCTTGGTAGGGCCCCCCTCTTGCAGGTGGGCAGGACGCAGAGGCCCTTGTAGGCCTAAGGCATCCCCCAAGGGGCATGGGCAGCACATCAGGAAAGGCTTTCTTGAGGGAGGTAGTTGGCTGGGGAGTGTGTTCTGGGGACCACCAGGGCTTGGTGTTACGTGCTGATGGTGCCACGCAGGCCTGGCAGTTAGCCTTGCCTCCCCTAGCGTGGACAGGAACTCACACAGGTCACCAATAGGCAGGAGGCGCCTGCAGGTGGCCTGTCCAGAGCTGATGTGCAGTGTATCATACATACCGTGGCTTGAACTGAGGAGGGGACAGCCTGTGTGCCCACCACCATAGCCCGGATGGCCGGGTTGTTGGCATAAATGGGAAGGGAAGGCCCGTTTGGGACAGGCTGCGTTTGAGTGTGGGCGGCAGCTGAACCTCACTGGTGAGAAGGCCCAGAAGAAAGCTGAGGCTGCGGAGCAAGGCAGTGTCCAGAACCAGCTTTGGGCATGTTGGGGGCACAGGGGCCATGGAATAGAGCTGCTGGGCCTCGAGCCAGGCAGCAGGAATGTCTGCCCCAGAGGCCAGCGGGGGTGCCCAGCAGGTGGGGAGTGCCTGTGACAGTTGGCCAGAGGAGGGGGAGCCAAGGCCTGTGAGCTGAAGGCTGGTCCTGGGCTTAGTGGGGCCGGGGTTGCAAGTGGACATGGCACAGGGCTGGGGCTGCACTCTGGGTGCCCTGGGGTGGCACCAAGGAGAGCGGGCCCCTGGTTTGCTGGCATGGTCGTCCCCCAGTGCCACCTTCAGGTTGGCAGTAGCCATCTTCCCAGCCAGTGGCAGCCTGCCTGGGTGGCCAGGCAACTGACCTGGGTACTTCCCAGGAGCCGCCTGCTTGGCCTGCGGGTGTGGCACGTCCCTCCCCCACTCCGGCCAGGAGCGGCTTCTCCCTCTATGCCGCAGAATGCCTGGGGCCTGTGCCTCTTGCCTTGCCTTCTGGCCATGCCCCTGTGAGTCATGTGGGTGGCTTCTCGCTGGCCCTTGCAGTGCTTAGTGGCTCTTCTTCCACCTTCGGGGCTCAGCCCGTCAAGGGGCAGGCCCGTGGGAAGCAGGGCTAAGGCAGGGAAACCTGAGCCCTCAGCCACGCGGTCTGGGCTGCTAATTTTAGAGAGCTCAAGTCATTGGAAACTCTCCTCTCCTGCCAGGAATCCATGGCCTGACTCTCCCTGTGCCACCAGGGGCCCCTGTGAGCTTCTCCCCAAACCAGGAACTCTGGGGGCCTCTGCACCATGGGTGCACAGTCTGAAAGGGGCTCTGCCAGGCCCCAAGAGCCCAGCTCAGGCCGGGGAAAGAATGCCCCCACTCTGCTATCCATGCTGCGTGCCTACCCAGCTCGCAGGTGGGATGGGCAGAGCTCGCCAGGGCCTGGCAGGGCCGAGAGGCTGCTTCGTGTGTTCTGAGCAAGCCCTTTCCCTGAAGAGGCCTGGAGCAAGCAGATTTTCTTCCTTTTTCTTGGCTTGACTGAGTGCCATGGCTGCACTGGGCCCCACTGTGACCACCTCACCTTCCTGAGCGGTGCTTGCCCCAGGGGAGGCCCTCCCTATTGTCCCTGGCACTCACTGCCACTGCACAGGGGTGGCGTCTACCCTCAGCTGCTGCCTGGGTTCCCCTCGGCTGCTTTAGACTGGCAGTGGGCGCTTGCACCCTGGTTCTTCCCTGTCTGTCCCCTCTAGCCCATGAGGGCCTCCATTCGAGCACTGCTGTGACGGATGTGTTGTGGCAGCTGCCCGCGTGATGGGATGGGAAGGAGTTGGGGAGAGAAGAGGCCTTTCTGGCTCGTGGCGTGACCTGGGAGCTGAACAAGTGGTGGTTCCGGCACAGAGACCCGAGTTGTGATTGCGGCCATGTCTGTTTCTGGATCTGGACCTTGGCCATGTCACTGTCCCCTGCTGAGCGCCAGTTTCCTCCTTGTTAAAATGCGGGCAGTGGTAGCAGCTGCCTCTTGAGGCAGATAAGAGGATTGAGCCTGGCATGCAGTGAGTGCCTACATCTGCCAGCCACTGTTGTTCTACTGAGGCAAGCCCAGCCTCGCAGGGTGGGAAGCGGTGCCGAGGCTTGCCCGGCACGTCCAGACCCCGAGCAGGAGAGCACTGGCGTTCCAGAACCTCACGGCGTCCCTGGTCCCTGCTCCTAACACACACACACACACACCCGCACATCTGCACACACCTCCTCTGGGTGGCCGTTTGGGGGCCCCGCCTGTCCCTGGTGTTGCCAGGGCCAGGCTGTAGGCAGGCAGGCTGGGACAGGAGTGGCCAAGACAAGCCTGCCAGTCATGTGCCCTCACCTCTTCTTTCTCTAAATAATTGCAGCCTGCTGAGACGCCTGGTGACTCTCATCTCCCAGCAGGCCACACTGCTGGCCTCCAATGAAGCCTTTAAGAAGCAGGCAGAGAGTGCTAGTGAGGCAGCCAAGAGGTACATGGAGGAGAATGACCAGCTCAAGAAGGTGAGCCCTGTCTGTGCAGTTCGCCTTGCCATGCTTGGGCATGTCCCCAGGGCCACCAAGAGAGACTGCTGCCGCCCAGGAAGCTGGGGCGCTGGGGTTGGGTGCGGGTGCAAAGGGGAAGTTGTCCATGGGGAACAGAGGAGGTGCAATGGGGAAGTGGGCGTGGCTGCTGCCACCCTGGTCTCACTCCTGGTCAGAGTGAGTCCCTGGTGAGCCGGGACCCGCCACGTCTCGGGCGAGACCCCTGTTCTCCTGTACCTGTTGCACAAGGCTGGGGACCGGCACATCTCTCTGTTAGGGAGCAGGCAGGGATGGGGTTGTGGGCCAGTCCTCGAAGGCTCATCCCGGGAGACGAGGTTCGAGCCAAGCTTGGAAGGAGACGGATGGATTGGGAGTCACAGGTGGGCTGCAGCTGGATGGGCAGGGCAGGTTCGAGGTCACTGGCTGCATTGAGCAGTTGGAGCCTGGGGAGGAGGGGACAGCTGTGGTCACTTGGAGAACAGCAGACTGCTCCGCATTGAGTTAGTGGATGAAGTGGTAAGCTCCATGGAGTGCTGAGTCTTGCTGGTGAGGAGGGAGACAGGGCCCTCAGCCAGGGCAGGCAGGGTGTGTGGCCTGTGAGCTGCAGCAGGTGGCCCCACTGGCCCTTCCCTGGCCCTCGGCGGCCAGCCATGTTATGGCCTTTGCTGGGAGCAAGCAGTGGCCTGGTTCGGTGTTGACATTTCCGAAGGGGCAAGGACCCAGGACAGCTTGAGGAACTGCAGCTCAGGGAGGCCTAGGCTGGAGCCTTGCCGGCCTCCCTCCTTCCCGAGTGACCTGGCCCGAGGCGCTTTCCCAGGGAGCTGCCGGGGACCAAGGCCAGCTGTCAGAGACCGGGGATGCCGCGGCCAAGGCGCAGGAGGAGAACAGGAGCCTGAAAGCTGATGTGAAGAAGCTGAAGGATGAGCTGGCCGTCTCCAAGCAAAGTGAGGATTGTCTCCCCCCTGCCCCCCAGAAACCCCCAATGACGGGCCTCGTACACAGGCTCAAGAGCCATGAGTGGAGGCATAGCCGCAGTGGGCAGGCCCTGGAGAAGCCCTGGCAGCTGCCTGTGTGCTGTGGCGAGAGCAAGGGGAGTGTCCGGAAGGGAGTGGATAGGAATTCGAGGTGGTTTTATTTTGGAAAATCTAAACCAGCTCTCCACTGGCCTCCCCAGGCCAGTTGGAGCCGAGGCTGTCCTCCCTCGGCACCACAGGCTCTGACTGCTGCTGCTCCTCACAGCGTCCTTGTCACTGGGGGTCACTCCTGCTGAGGGCCACTGCAGTGCGCTCCGTGAAGGGGACCAGAGGGCTCTTCCATTGAGCAGCCTGGTCATCCCCATCCCCCTGCTCTTGGGTGTAGGCGCTGTAAAGGCAGCGTGCACCACTCAGGAGCAGCAGAATCCCACTTGACATGGATTTGGGCCGCTTCCCCCGTCTTGAGCCAGTAGCTTTCCTGGCCCTCACCCCAGTCTTCTAATGTTTTCCTGCCTTCATCACTCGCACCCCTTCCAGAACTCGAGAAAGCTGAGAACGAGGTATTGGCTATGCGGAAGCAGTCTGAGAACCTGACCAAGGAGTATGACCGCCTGCTGAAGGAGCATGCCAGGCTGCAGGTCAGCGGCCGGGGTTGGGGCTTGGCGCTGCTGAGGAAGGTCCTGTGCTCTGGGCCTTGCCACCCTTGTGCCCAGCCATGAGTGTGGCCCGAGTCCTCAGCCTGCTTTGGGCTCTCCAGGCATGACCAGAGGCACATGCAGTTGGGAAATCAGCTCATGTAGCTTGTGTCCATGCCTGGTCACCCAAGTTTGGACACTAAGGCGGGGACCTGTGGCAGGTGTACGGATTTGGGACAGGTCTTGACCAGGACTTGAAAGCTGGCCTTCTGGGCACCCAGCACTCCCAGTTCTAATCTGGCTGCTGAAGAAGAGCCGAAGCAGAGGCCCCTGATGCTCTCTTATCCTACCTGGCGAGGGCAGCCCTTCCCAGGCCGGCATTAGGTTCACGGCCTTCCCGAGCAGATGAGGCAGTGACACACTCACTGGGCCAGCCTTTGGCACTGCTCAGGGTGTGCCTCGTTCTCCTGTCTGGGCACCTGTGTTTAGCTGAAGGGACTGTGGCGACGCTGGGCTTTCTGTCCCTTCACAGGCTGCAGTAGATGGCCCCACGGACAAGAAGGATGAGTGACAAGTGACGAGTGACGACACCGCCTCCCCTGCCTGTGGCCGGCTTTGACCCGGTCTGCGCTTGCCGCGCTTGCCGCTCCCAGGAGCCCAGCTTCTTCCTCTGCACAGCTCCAAGCAGTCATCTCGGTCCCCTCCACAGCCACAGCCTGCCAGCCCTCCACAGGGCACCCAGTAGTCACTCATGCGGGCTGCCTTCCCTCTGGGGTGGATGGAAGGCACTTGTCCCTGTCCCTTTTGTTCTGCCGTGTTGACGTGCCCTCTGCTCCTGCCTGCACTCCCTGTGGCAGGCCCTCGGCTCTCTCCTGCAGGCAATAAAGGTTGTTGCCTTGAGATTTGTGCTGGTGCCTGTGTGTGACCAAGGAAGTCCCGTGCTCCCCTAGCCCTGAAGGAGCCCTGCTGCCGCCCTCTGCCCCGCCCCCCGCCCCCCGCCATGCTGGGACAGGCCCTGCTTTATGGCTCCTGGGAGTGTCAGGCCTGTCAGTCTCCCCGGGAGCTCCGTAAACCCACAGGACTTCCTGGTGGCAGACGTGCCTGCCTGCTCTTCTCATAGGGACGGGAGAATGTGGCAGCAGGCCACCAGCCACTCCTTGCCCCGCCCCCTCCGAAGATCTGCCGCATGACCTCTGAGTAATGCTGACTGAGGGAAGAGACTCGTCCTTGGCAATGACCTAGCCCTGGCTCAGGGCAGAGCAGGGCTGTGCAGAGGGGCACAACTGAGCACTGGTTTGCTGGCCCCAGAGCCTGGCGCAGGGCATAGGGAGCAGTCTAGGCCGCCAACACCTGGCCCTGGTGGGGCACCGGCACGCTTGGGGAGCGGGTTAGAGGTATGTCTTGGAATCAAGGTGATCCCGGTGCTGTTGACGCTGGCGGGTGGCTGGCAGCCAGCTGTGTGTTCCCAGTCCTGCCTGCCCTGTCTGGGCCCAGGCCAGCAGCTACTTGCTTCCAGTTCTCCACTCTGTGAGCAATGCCAGCTCTTGGGGAGGCCTCCCCGTGCCAGCTGTCTGAGAGCTGGTGCCCATGGGGCCAGGGGGCATTGAGGCGACGCCCTTCGCTTGCTGTGCAAGTGCAAGGCCTGGGCTCGTCTGCTTTTCCAGGAAGTTGTTCCCAGGTTACCTTGGGCCTCCCTGAGCCCGCACGTCTCCATGCCGATGGGCTAAAGTCCGGGCAGCTTCTGCTCTTCCTCCCTCCCTAGCACTGCCCAAGTCCCTCTTTGGCGCAGCTTTTGGGGGGCCCCATGTCATGGAGGGACAGCAGGGGCTGGAGGGCTCCCTTGCTATATTTGTAGTGGCTTGAGGATCAAGACCACTTCTTGTTGACCCGTGGTGCAGGAATGGATTCCCACTCCTGTGGAGTTGCCTTTCTGTGATGTCATGGCTTCCCGTGTCTAGCAGCAGTGTGGCAGGTGTCTTTGGAGGGTCAGCGTGCAGGCAAAGAGAACAGCAGAGTGAGTTCTCATCGAGGCTGCAGCCCTGTCCATGAGCTGTGGCATCAGTGTGAGCAGGGTGGGGCACTACGGTAGGGCACTCCGGGTGACAGTAAGGGAGGGTCGGGCACCTGCTCAGGAAGGGTAGGCTGGGGATTGAGGCATAACCGGCAGGCCTGGAGCGAGCGAGGCATCTGTGCAGGAGAAAGACCAGAAGTGAACAAGAACAGCACTGAGGAGAGGGGTGGGAGCCTTGCCTCTGGGGGACCACTTCCTCTGCACACCATGGCACGTCGATGGCCACCCCCCACCACACTATGTCCTGCCCTCAAGGACCTGTCTGTGGACACCTGCTTCCTCCTCAGCCCCTGGCGCCCACCAGTCCCCTCTGTCTATGGACAGAGTGCAGCCAGTTTGGCTTCTTGTACCTGGCTTCTGTCACTGAGCATCATTGACCCCAAGGGCCACCCGTGTAGCTTTCCTAAGGCTGAGCACCATCCCATGGCAGGCACTCGCTGTCGGTTTGTTGGTCTGTTCATCTGTGGACACTTGGACCCTCCCACCTGTCCGGAGGGCCAGCGCACACATAGCGCCATTGCCATGCCTGGGTCTCCTTCTCCACCAGTCCTAGCTCCGGACCAGACTTTCCAGAACTCCAGACTCCTGTGTCCACCTGCCAACTAGATGTCAGCACTTGGATGTCACTTCCGGGATGACACAAAGCCAACTCAATTGTCCCCACTGCTGGACCTGGCAATGCCTCTTCCAGCAGCCCAGGCCAGGTCTCTGGTGTCCTTGACCCCTCTCAATCCTGCATCCCGGTCACCCACAGCTCCTTCTGGTCAGTCCCATCTTCAAAATAGATCCTAATTGGAAACTGGCTTGTCCCTTTCCAGATGCCATCCTGGTCCAAGTTACCACCATGCCTGCCATCTGCCTGCCCTGGCCCACCCTTCCACCTCCCTCCGACCTGGGAAGGTCATCTACTCAGTGACATGTGGAGGCGCCCTCATGAAAACCCCAGTGCCCACCTGCATGCCCCCACCTTACTGGTCCCCATAGCTCTGCGTGCTCCTGGAAGGGGGCCTTGCCGAGCGAGCCAGCACGCACACCTCCCGCACCCTTCCTGGGAGCAGACAGACGCTGGAGCCGGCTTTGGAAAATGACGTGTTTTTATTGCTATGTTTGCAGTGGCTTTTTAGCACAGTAAGAACGTCCCTGCAGGCCCGCGCCCTCCCTGGCCCTGCCCCTCGGCTCAGGGCTTAGGTCTGGTGTAGGGGAGCCACAGGCATGACCATGACTGGACGCGGACTGGGTTAAAGCTGCTATACGGAAGACTTGAGATGCAGAAAGGGCATCAGCCTGAAGCTTGGCCATGGGAGCCCAGCCCTGGGGCAGGGTGTGGGCAAGCCTGAGCGCCAGGTGCGTGGCCAGGAACCCCAAGGCCCCACGCACCTTCCCACCCCAGGCCGGGGCTGCACACACGCATCCACAGGAGATGCAACTTGAAGCTTTGTTTTGCCTATGAAAATTAGATCTATAAATTCACACTCCTTGGCTAGGGGCTGGGGAGGAAGGGCTGCGAGGGAAGGAGGGAGTGAGTGGCGAGGGGAGGGACGGTTGGGCTCTTCTCTCTTTAGAAATATACAAGCGGGAATCTCACACTCCTCAAGTTTTTTATAAAATGTGCAAAATACAACCCTCCTTTGCCCAGAGGCACCGTTTACATCGGTATTGGCCTTTGCTAAGAGATAGAGATGTACACATCCTCTCCACACGCTCACACACTCACACACTCGCACACTGACCCAAGCTCACACACCGAGTGGCGGCGACTGGCACGGGAACCGAGGCTCTCGGATCTTCAGAACAGGCATGGGGAACCACTGGCTTCCTCCTGCTGGTCTCCCCTCCCCTCCTGTGCTCACCCCTCTTTCCCAAGACTGCCACTGCTACCGGCAGGCTGAGGGGCCACCCGAAGGTGTCACAGAGCAGAGCCTCGGGAGGCAGGCAGAGGGTGGTGGCATGGGGAGGAGCTGGGGCCAGGGAGCAGTGTGGGGGTGGGGTGGGGGGGCAGGTTGGCTAGGGCCAGGGGGGAGAGGCATCTATTTTTGGTGGGTTGATATTTTTGGCGTTTTATTAAAAATGGAAAAAATTTTAGCACTCGCAGTGCATCCTCCCCTCACCCCAGACAGCCCCCCCCAGGTAGGCGGGGCTCAAGCGGGGGCTGCTATGGCTACCAGAGGGGGAGCTGGTGATGTGGGCGGGGTGTCTGTCACATGACACTCTCCACCACGATGACCTTGCTGCTCTCAGACACTGGGGTCAGGGTGGTCAGGCCCCTGACGTCCGCGTCCTGAGCTCGGTACTCCAGGTGGTGGAGGCCCCAGACAGGCTGGGTCAGGTGCTGCCAGCGCTTTGGGGGAGGGGAGGGGAGGGGAGGGGAGGAGAGGAGCGGAGAGGAGATGAGCATGAGGCTTGGCTGCCTCCCCTGGTGCTCACCTCCCAGCCCTGGGCACTCACCTCTGCCGTGGCTCCCTTGGCCCTGAGAAGGGAGCCCAGCAGGTACAGGGGCACACACAGCATGGACGAGAGTGCAAAGGCCCAGCCGATGGCTTCGCCCCACCACGGGTACACGTAGGTGTTGTTGTAGACCAGTGGCTCGTGGTACACTACGTTGAAGATGAAGATGCCCTGTGGGGGGCACTGCGTGGTCAGCCGGGCCCTCCCTGCGGCACGGCACCCCTCGCCTACCTGGCAGCTCCCATAGGCCTTACCATGCAGACCAGCGGCGTGAAGAAGGACCAGCACCATTTCATCCAGGGGCAAGGCCGGTACCCGATCATGCAAGCAATGTCGTCCATGAAGCGGTCGGCTCCTGTGTAGGTGAGGGGAAGGCCACAGCTGCGGTCACCCCTCCCCTGCCCACCCTGCGTCCCCTACCTTCCCCAGCCCGGACCTACCGTACACCCAGGCCACCACCACGCACTCCCAAAAGGCCTGCCACAGCAGTGTGGTGCCGCTGGCGGAGTAATAGTCAAACAGCTGGAAGACGTACATCCCGCCCTGGGGGACAGAGCAGGGTGAGGGAGGCCAGTGGCCAGCGGCTGAAGCCCAGAGGTAGCCAAGGGAGCCACACCCCAGGTCCACTCACATCAGTCACCATGGAGAGGTCGATGACAAAGCAGAGGACACAGCAGAGGGCCACGGAGATCTCCCTTTGGAAACGGAAGTAGTAGGAGGCCGGGAGGAGGTCTAGTAGGCCGGTGATGAAGCCTTCCACACCTACAAACTGTGGCGGGGCAGCTCAGGCCCAGCCTGGCCTGGCCTGGCCCGGTGCCCAGAGCCCGCCCCAGCTCCCTGCCGGGAGCCTCTACAAACCTGGCTATCGAGCCCGAGCAGCAGCAACATGAAGAAGAACAGGGCAGCCCAGAGTGGGGCCACAGGCATCAGCGTGACGGCCCGGGGGTAGGCAATGAAGGCCAGGCCGGGCCCTGGGGGCAGAGGAGTGGCGTGAGGCTGGCAGCACGCGCATGCCCAGGGACACCTCAACCTTCTGGCAATGATCACACTCAGTGTGTCCCGACGTGGGCCCGGAAGGTGCCCCTAGGCCCTCGGCAGGCCCCCACTGTGTCTAAGACCCCTTTTCCCTCTGCAGCACTGGGACAAGCACCAGGACACCATGCAGCCCCAGGGATGGGAAGAAGGGCACCCGAGCCTGCTGAGAGAGGGAGCTTGGCTGTCACTTTTCAGTTGCCGTCTGCACGTGCCTGCGTTCGCCACGCATGAGGCAGCACTGCTGCTCTGCAAGCAGGCGGTGTGGGGGGTACTCACCCGATTCCGCCACCTTGGAGATGTGCACGCCCTGCTCTGTTGCCATGAAACCCAGGATGGAGAAGACCACAAAGCCAGCAAAGAAGCTGGTCCCGCTGTTGATGAGTGCCAGGATGATGGCATCCCTGCAGGCAGAGAGAGGGGACTGACTGGTAGGCACCTGGTGCTCCCAGGGGGACGGAAGGATGAGCAGGGCAGAGAGGGCAGAGGGGGCAGAGGGGCCGGCGTGGTGCCTACTTGTAGCAGTTGTTGTTGAACCGGTTGTAGCTGCCCAGGGCTGTGAGGGCCCCCAGGCCGATGGCATAAGAAAAGAAAATCTGGGTCCCAGCATCTATCCATACCTGCAAGCAGGCAACAGGTGCGGTGTGAGGGCGGGGCTTGGGCTTGGTGGGCTCCTCACCATTGCGCAGGCGCATTGCTCACCTGAGGGGACGCCAGCTTGGACCAGTCTGGCTTGAGATAGTAGATGATGCCATCCAGGGCTCCAGGCAGTAGCACCCCACGCACCAGCAGCACAACGAGGACCACATAGGGGAATGTAGCAGTGAAGTACACAATCTGGGGGGCCAGACAACTCAGCGGGGTGCTGCACCTCCCTCCCTCCGAGAGCCCCCCATCCTGCCCCACAGAGCCAAGGCTCCCCGCCAAGGGAAGCCAACAGCAAGGTCGGGTTGAGAAGGATAGGGCCATGGGGTCCGCCGAGGGTGCCCGGGCACATCTGTTTGGCAGGGAGTGGGAGTGGGCAGAGTGGCAAGGCATGGGGTGACAGGCACACATCCCTCATCCATGTCATCTTCTGTCTTAGAGGTTCGGGATTCTAACTGGGCCAGAGAGGTGAAGAAAGAGGGCCAGGCCCAGGGCCGGGCGCTTGCCTGGCATGTGGACACTGGGCTTTGACTCCAGCACTGTAGAGAGGGGAAGGAACAGCGAAGGCCCCTGCCTCCTTGCCCGGCATCCAAGCTTCGGGACTCCCGGGAGTGTGACTCACTGGAGTCCTGCCCTCTAGGGACCTGGTGTCCCGTGACTCCTGACATACTGTCCTACTGTATGTCTGCATAGCTCTGGCCCCGAGACAGAGGAAGCCCTGAGGGAGAGTGGGACAGATACATGCAGACATCATCTGGTGCTCAGCTGAGGCAGGCCATGACTCAGGCAGTAGGAGCGCCAGGGGACCTGGGGAGGGACATGCCCAAAGGATGGGGACAAGATGGACACAGGGAAGGGACAGCTACTGCTGGGCCTTGGGCCTTGGCACTGGGGGGCTGCCGGGATCTGGGTGTGGAGGCTGGAAAGGGCTATCCAGCCAGCAGTTGCAGGGAGAAAGTGACCTGGATGGGGGGCCTCCCGCTGTCACCCCCACCTCCCACCTGCAGCCATACCTTCCCTGTCGACTTGACCCCCTTCCAGACACAGAAGTAGACCAGCACCCAGCAGGCCAATAGGCACAGGGTCACCTCCCAGTTGAGGGCCCCGGGCACCTCCAGCCCAGCCGAGAGCCGCAAGACCTTGTTCCTAGGGCAGGGCAGAGGGAGGAGAGCGCGTGAGGCTGGGACATGCCCCGATGTGGCGCCTCTGTTCCTCCTGCCAACCCTGGTGGGGCCCTGTCCCCACACCCCTGCTCACTCAGTCCCTGGCTCTCAACAGGATGAGGGTGACAGTGCTGCTGAGGAGCAAGGCCCACCCAGCCCAGGGAGGGGTGTGGAGCCCAGTGACAGCCCAGTGTGCAAGTCCCCAGGGCTGGAGCATGTGTGGGGCAGGCGGGGTGGGCGGAACAAACAGGCCGGGCTTGGGCCAGAGGCACCTGACTTACTCCCAGAACTCAATGACAGGGGACCGGCGGTCAGCGAGCTGGTCACATGTAAGGTTGGCCAGGCTGGCATTGGCACAGTCTTCATGGCGAAAGATCTCCACGCAGTCACCAGTGTTCCAGGCGTGGCCACACGTGGCCCAGGGCAGAGTGGTGGTGAAGGACTTGACCAAGTAGTAGAAGCCCCAGGCCAGCACCATGATGTAGTAGGTGTTGCAGTAGAAGACAATCACCATGGAGGCGTAGCCCAGGCCTGGGGATGAGCCTGCTCTGGTTCCTGTGGCTTGGGTTTTGACCACTTCCCGCTACTCCTGTCATGTCCCCTCCCAGGGCTGGCAGCAGTCCCCGCTGAACTCCTAGCAGCCTCTCCTCTCCTACCAGAGCCTTCTCCGGTTTGTGTCCAAGATGCCCCCAACTGCCCTAAGCCCCTGTAGTAGTGCCCTGACACCGGGCCACCTCCCCAAAGTGTCCCCTGCACTCCATCTTCTCCATGCATTGTTCCTTTCCCCTCCTTATGTCCTGTTGCTTATCCAGCCTCACATGCTGGCCCCTCGCCTGGGCCCCACTGCCACCAGTGGCCTGTGGTACACTGGGACAGGGGAGCCCCCCCCCCCCCGAGAGCATAGGGGCTGGCGGCTCACCTTTGAAGATGGGACAGATGTTCCAGACATTGATGCTGCCAGCCTTCATGAACTGGCCCAGCGAGATCTCCAGGAAGAAAATGGGGATTCCCCCGACCAGGGCGATCAGGACGTAGGGAATGAGGAACACACCTGGGGGAGGCAGGGGTGGGGTAGGGACCATAGGAACCTGACCAGACCTCAGCTGCTTGCAGAAGCCCCAGGCTCCCCGTGGGGGTCACTTGGGGTGGTCCCTGGTCTGAGGGGATGGGCTAGAGCAGGTCGGCCCCCCGCTGTGGGGTGCCCTCTCCCAGGCACCTAGCTAGGGTGACCTGCTGGGCACTGAGGACATGCATGCCCATGCTTGCAGCCATCCCATCTGCTGCAGCTCCCAATTTGCCAGGCAGCCCCTGGAGGAACCTGAGGGCATGCCAGACCTGGCGTTCCTCCCACGACAAGGAGGCCCCGCCCCTGCACTTGGGAAGGTCTGAGGGGAGTGGCAGTCCTCCACGCTGCAGACACAGGTGGAGGAAAGAAGAGGCTGCCCCAGGCACAGCTGCTGGCTGGCGAGGTAGGCAAGGCCAGCCCGAGGGAGGGGAGCTGCTGCAGCCCGTTGCTCCTCCCTGCTCCTCCGGCCATCGCCCTGCTCAGCTCTGACCCGCCCAGGGGTTGAGCTCCTATCCCAGCATCCTTCCAGTGTGACCTTGGGCAAAGGCCGTCCCTCTGGGCCTCAGTTTACCCTCAGTGGCCAGTTCTTTCCCTTCCCGGCAGGCCTGCTGCTTTGCAGTCACAGGACACGCGTGCCCGTCGCTGTTGCTAAGCTGGGCCTGGGCAGACGGGCAGGGGGTGTGCATGCGGTGTCCGCTGGCAGCGCCAGGCAGGCCAGGCCGCAGGCTTCCCAAGCCTGGCTCAGGAACCCAGTGTTCCTGGCCCAGGCCAGAGGGGAGGGGGAGGGAGGGCATGGGGGTGGGACAGAGTGGCCCATTGTGTGTGCGTTCCTGTGTGCACACGTGGGGGGGCCGTACAATGTGCTGCTTGTGTGCCCAACCCACGGGGGCAGCCAGAGCACCTCACCTCGAGTTAGTCCTTCCCAGGGAACAGACCTGCCCTTCCCACCTCAGGGGCCACCGCAGGAGCCCGGGGCCTGGGCTGGGGGTCTGAGGAGCAGCGTCCCCGCGATGGGAAACACGGGGGTGGGGGGGCGGTAGCCTCCCCCCAGGCCACCAGGCACATGACCGCCAGAGGGTAGAGGCCCAGGCAGCTGCTCAGCTGCTGGAGGAGCGAGGGGTGCTTGGCCCCCAGGCGCCCCGGGGGGCCTCCCCACCCCCTGGACTTCGCCCTGGCTCCTCCCGGACTTGGTGGGCCAGGGAGGGCTGGGGGAGGGCCCGTTGAGGGCGGGGAGCTGGATGCAGCGGGGCGCGGGGGGGGGGGCACTCACCTCCGCCGTTCTTGTAGCACAGGTAGGGAAAGCGCCACACGTTGCCCAGGCCCACGGCGAAGCCCACGCACGACATGATAAAGTCCATCTGGCGCGTCCAGGTCTCACGCGGCGGCACGGCCAGGCTGCCGCCTGTCGCCCCCAGGCCCGCCGGGCCATCGCCCTTGGCTGGGGCACCGTCGGGCCCGGAAGCGATGGGGGGACCCTTCTTCTCGTCGACGGACACGCTGTAGATGCCGTTCTCTGCGCTCTTCTTCTCCATAGCCCGGGGTGGCGGCGCCTCGCGGGGGGCGGGCGGGCGAGCGGCTGGGGGCGCCGGCGGCACCCGGGGTGGGGGAACCCCGGAGGCGCGAGCCGCCCGGTGGCCTCGGGGGCGGCCGGGCCGGGGGACGGGGCGGCGGGCGGGCGCGGGCGGGTGGGGTGCGGGATGGGGAACGCAGTCAGAAGCAGTCCACGAAGCACTTGAAAGTGAGCCTGAAGAATCTCATGTGTGTCGGGGGCCCGGGGGCGCGCGGGCTGCGGCGGGGCCCGGCCGGGCGGCGGCGGCTCCCGAGGCTCCTGCCCGCGGCTCGGGTGGCGGCGGTGGCGGCTCTCCCGGCCCGAAGCTCAGCCTAGCGGGGCGCAGGAGGCATCGGGTGCCCGCTGTGTGCAAACGGCGGCGCAAACGGCGGCGGGAGCAGGGGCCTGCGGCCCTCGCTCCCCGCCCCGACCCGGGCCCAGGCGGCTGCGCTGCGCGCCTGCGGCTCCGGCAGCTCCGGCTCGGGTGGCGACTCCGGCGGCGACCCGGGAACGCCTCACCACCTCCTTCCCGGCGGCAGCGGCTCTGGCCGCTCACGGGGCCGCGGCGGGACCGGCAATCTGCCACCACACTCAGGCTGTCCCTCTCCCCGGCGCGACCGGCTGCTGCTTAAGAACCGGCTCCGGGTGATGTCACCGTCGCCCCACCCCCACGACCGGGCCGCTCCCCTCCCCCCCAGCCCTCTCACCCTCCGCGTTACTCCGCCCACCGCCTCCCGCCTCCCGAGGAAACGCCGCTCCAGCGGGGCACGGGATGGCTGCTACCTGGGGCCGGACCAGCCAGCGCCTGGTCCCCGCGAAGTACCCACCCCTCGCTGGGTCACCTGGCCCCTTCCTGGTCGCCGACTTGCCCTTCCCAGTTCTTGGAAACCGGCCTCCCGGGCTCCCCTCCTTCTAGGCCCCGCCTCTCCCCTTCCCTCCTTCCAGCCTGGACTCTCCCCTCCCAGCGCCCCTGGCTTCCCTAGGGTCCCTCCAGCGGTTCCCATCTTTAGCCCTGTGCTTGGACCCTAGGATGGGGCTGGGGGAGTGTTAGGTTTCCAGCTCCCAAGCACCAAAGCGGGATGTGGGCTGCTCTGACCTCTTTCCAGCAGCTGGCCGGTGACGCTCAACCTCCAGGTGTGAAATGGGGCTTAGCCAGAGGTTCAGCTGGAGACCAGGGGCTTGGGTCTTGGGGTGACAGATTTTGCAAGTCTCCAAAGTAAGGGGAGCCTGCTAGGGCTACACTTTGCCACCAAGCCAGACAAGGGGATTGCACCCCATCCCCGCCTGCTGTGGGGGAGAGCCGGGCAGAAATAGGGTAAGGCTGCCCCCTGCTGCCTGCCAGTTTTGCTGGGGGGGGGAGAGCCCCAGGCGGGGCGCTCCCCTCTAAGGCGACCCCAGGCTCTCTTTGCCCCAGCCAGCCTGGAAAGGAAGGGCCCATTGTCCTGGCGGGGGGAGCAGAGCATGCCTGGCTCAGCCCCGGGCTCCCTCCCGGATCTGTGGCAAACACTGCAGGCCCCAGATGGCTCATCCCATTAAGATCCCCCCCCCCCCCGGGCAGCTTTAGGAGGCAAAGCAGCTCCAGCTCCTGCCAGACTGTCCCCAGGAGGGGAGGGAGGAACACCCGGCCCCGCCTGGAGTGGTGCCCCGGGGGCCTGCTGTGTGGAGGCCCAGCCACACTGCTCCTCAGAGCCACTCACCTGGGTCTTCTCTGGCCCTGTATGGAATCAAGGCAGGGGAGTGACCCGCATAGCCTGCAAGACCTGGAGATGCCCAGGGAGCAAGGGCGGAGTGCACTCCAGACAGCACAGAAGAGGGTCCCATGGAGTCCACAGCTTGAGGACGGGGTGGGGCTGAGATGTGACAGTGTACCAGGTGAGGGCAGAGGCTAAGCAGCACCACAACTTGGTGGGGGCAGGGACGGGACCCTAAATGACTTGAGAAGGATGTGGGTGTGCCAGTGACACCACTGGGCAGGGCTGGGAGCCAAGGAAGGGGAGGCCCATGCCAAGTTCAGCACAGGAATAGGAGGAAGCCACCACCTGGGGAGAGGCTGCTGAGGGACAGGGAGGTGGCTGGGCTGGAGGCTGCTGGGACTCCTAGGACCCCCACAGCTGCCTTTGTCTGGCAGTGACACCATCTTGCAGGTACCACACCCTAGACTCCCCCCAGGAGGCCCCACCATGTGCAGTCCCTCCCTTAAGCTCCCTCCTCCGGCTCTTCCAGAGAGAAAATTATAGGGTCCTCCTGAGGGGGTGCAATGAGGGGTCCGACTGTGGCCTCCCAGCCTTGCAGGACTCTGCCCTAGGGGGCTAAGGAGGAGGCCACCTGGGGCCCTGTGACTTCCTCCCGTCCTGTGCCCTCTGCCTCCCACCAAGGCTGGCCAAGCTGTGCACTGATGAGGACTGCATTTCCAGCCCAGGGCCTTGCACAAGCCTGTCCTGACTCTACCCCCCCCCCCGGGGGGGGGCATCAGCTGCTGGGAGAAGCAGCAGGTGGACTCCTGGGAATCGCAGCTGATGGCCAGAGGCTGTCCCCCCTGGCCTGTCCTGCTGGCCTCAGTGTTGTGCTCCTGCGTCCTCCCCAGCAGTGTCCCAAGCAGCAAGCCTGTTCAGACCCCAGCTGGGGCTGGCACTGGGGCATGGGGAGGAGTGGAGACCTAGGAGGACGTGGGAGACTTGGGAAGCAGTGCTGGAGGAGTGGGTGGGGCAGTGACTGCTCACCCGGAGGACTGGGGCAGCTGGAGATGGGCAGAGCCGCTCCTCTGGAGGCACAATGAGCTTTGGAGTTAGAATGAGCCAGGGGCAGAGGGGAGGCTGGGTCCACCTGGCAGGGCTTTGTGCTCCCAGCCCCACAGGGGAAGGAGTGAATGGGGCTGGGGTCAGGGGTCGTGGGGCTGGGGCCTACTGAAGGGCTGTGCTTGTTCACGCCAACCCTCTGAGAGGCATTTGTCTGTGTTGTTGACATTTTATGTAAACTTTTTCTATTAGACTACTTTTAAATGTGCAGAAAAATGCAAACAGTCGCGAGTGCCACATAGCCCGCCCCCCTTCCCTGCTGTCAGCCTGTTGTGCTGGCACAGTGTGTTGCTCAAGCTTCATGAAGCAGTAGCAGGCCACAGTTCATAAGTAAAGTCTGCAGCGGCCGTCCTGTCTCCCTAGGCTCCTCTCTCCACTGTGGCAGCTCCTTGGGCATTCTTTGTTGTTTGAGACGGGGTCTTGCTATGTATTCAGGCTGACCTTGAACTCACTGCATACTCCAGGCTGGCCTCCAACTCATGGCAATCCTCCTGCCTCAGCCTTCTGGGTGCTGGGATGACAGGCATGAGCCACCACGCCTAGCGAGCCAGACAGTTTTGAGGTGAGTTGGTCGGGTGTAGACTGTCCATCTCCTAGGCACTTGGCTCTTCTCTCATGATTAAATGGGCCTATGGGCTCGGGAGAGGAAGACAGCTGAGGGGAAGGGCTGTGGATCTTAGCAGGGTTTGTACTGTCAACATGGTGGACACTGTTGGTGCTGACCTTGATCACCCAGCTGTGGTGTGAATGTCAAGCTTCCCCACTATAAAGTGACCCTTTTTCCCTCTTGCCATGCTTACTTTGGTGGGAAGTCACTGTGTAAGCCACAGTTAAGACAACTTAAGGCAGGACAGCCTCAGTGTGGCTCACAGTGTCCAAGGGTTCAGTCCATGGTCAGTGAGCACCATTGCTTTTAGGCCCGTGGTGAGGCAGAAGGCAAGGGGAAAGAGCCAGAGAGGAAGGGACAAAGTTCTCATGATCCAGCCACCCCCGAAGCCCATCTGCTGTGAATGCTGCTTCGTGGGGCCCAGCCCCCACCACAGAAGCCTTGGGGGACACATCTGAGCCAACTGTAGCAGTCCTAGACTGAAGCTTCTCACAAGGAGGGGTTTATGTTAGCTGATGACACCTGCCAGTTTAGTCCACGGTTGGTGGCCCTGTGGCCTTGGGCCTGTGGTAGAGCAAGGTAGCTCACCTCCTGGCAGCCCGGAGACAAAGAGATGGAGAAGAAGAGGCGGGCCTGATATTTCATTCAAGGCTATGCCCCCAGTGACCTGACTTCCTCCCCCAAGGCCACACCTCCTAAAGTCCCGCCTCCTCCCAATAGCACCTTGGGCTGGGGACCAAGCATCCAACACGTGGGCCTTTAGGGGACATTTAACATGAAGCCACAGCAGGAGGAGAGTATCTCCATCCCTTGATCCCTCTGTCGATCCAGCCAGGTACTGGGATGAGACCAGGAGACACTCACCACTGAGCTACATCCCCAGCCCCTTTCATTTTTTTTCCCTTTTTTTTTGTTTTTTGTTTTTTTGAGACAGGGTTTCGCTATGTAGTTCAGGCTGGCCTTGAGCTCAGTATGTAGCCCAAGCTGGCCTTGAACTTACCAAAATCCTCCTGCCTCAGCCTTCCGAGAAAGATAAACTTGAATCATGTGTAGGAAAATGGATGCACCTTGAGACCATAATGCTAAGTGAAATAAATCAGACACACAGGCTTAAATATCACATGATTTCTCTCTCTTTTTTTTTTTTTGGTACTGGGGATCAAACTCCGGTCCTTGCGCTTGCGCAGCAGGTGGCGCATGATTTCACTTTTATGAGAAACCAAAGTATAAATAAATTAAGGACCAAAATAAAAGACAGATAATAGGAAGCAGAGAGACGGATTTTTCTCAAAGAAGAAGGGGATCAACAGATGGAGGGACGGGGACGGAGGGGAGGGAAAGGGCATGAGAAAAGGAATTGGGAAGTGTACTGTACATGTGCAAACCCACACAAGGAAGGTAAACATTATGTACTGCACACATGTACTAATAGAAAAAAAACTTTTCATCCTCCTGCCTCAGCCTCCTGAGGAGCTGGAATAACACACCTGTGCCATTGTACCTGGCTAACATCAATTATATGGAATTCTCCTACATATGTTTATTTATTAATCCCTTATTTATAACAGTAGGAACTCAGAAATTTATTTGGAAC